AATACTTTGCTCCAATCTTTCCTTAAGTTGAGGGTTTGTATTTAGAAGTCTGATGTGATTTTGATGGTTTTTCCTTTACATGTGATTTGTTTCTTTCCTGTAATAGCTTTTAATATTCTGGTTTGTGCTGAATTTCTGGAATCTTGACTTTTATATGCTTTGGTGTAGTTTTCTTTTATCATGGCTAATTTGGCTTCTATTTCATCACTTATCTGTATGTCAAATTATTTTTCCATTCTGCTATGACTTCTGTGAACATATTTTTTGTCACTTGTGCTATCTTCTGCTTTTTAATTGATTGAGATCAATTTTACGTTTTTCTTCTTTGCATCATCTAGCAGCTGTTGGATTGATGTTTTATGGTCCCTTGCTTTTTTAAAGAAATTTTTCTTTTCATGAGTGCCAACCATGATCCTATCTTCTGTATCTGATATTTTGTACTCACATTGGTTCATTCTGCTGTATATAATTTTTATGAAAGTTTTAATCTCCTGGATATTTGTTTGAATCTGTTTCCTGGTTTCCATTTCTTTCCTATGTTGGGAGTTCATGATTTCCATCATTTTCCTAAGCTCCTTTATCTACTCTAGTGTCACTAACCACCCTAATCCTATCCATCAGGGCTTAGTTTCATTATTTATGTACTTCCTAAAGGGCCCACTTTTTAATACTAGCGAACTGATTATTGAGTTTCAACATGTGAATTTTGAAGGATGTATTCAGCCTTTAGAAGACCTCATCTGGAAAGATCCCTAAAAGGGTTGGGGAATGTAGCTCATTTGTAAAGCACGTGCCTTACTGATGCAAAGTCCTGGGTTTTATCCTCAGCCCTTGGGAAGAAAGATCTCTGTGGAGGAAATGTGGAGGAAAACTGAGGCAGACAGAGCCTAGAGGCTAGAAACCATCAGGGAAATAATTACAAAGTCTTCACAGAGGGTGATGTGGGCCTGGACTAAGGCCATCACAGTGGTACTGGGGATGAGGCAATGATGGAGAGATGGCTGGTGAGCAGTGTTAGCTTGGTTTGGTAAGGGACCAAACATTGGGAGGAATGCAGAGTAAACTTCAGGCTCCCAAATATGGGCACTGGCACCATTAACAAAGATAGAAAAATCCTGGAAGAAATTAAAAACATGTAAAGGAGAAGATCATTGATAAAGTAAGAAAGGAAGAGTCTCCAGAACCTACGAAGAAAAAGGAAGGCATGTTTTTCTTTGTGGCAGAAAGATAGAGGTGATCCTGGATAATAATTTGTAGAAATTTGCAGATGGTAAAGAGAAAAGCCCTGGGGATTGATGCAGCTGGGGAATTTGGGTGTTTGTTTTCTTTGTAAAGTGGGAGCACATAGTTGGCATAAGTAAGATGGTGGGAGATATGGCAGAGGGCATAGGAGAGGGGCACTGCTTGGAATGCTATTGCTGGATGAAAGACCTTATTTTGGGTACTGTGCCTGGTATGTGGCAGCTTCTTTCTGTTCAGAGAATGGGGTGACTTGGAATGAGCATAATCATCTCTTAATGCCCCTGGGGCATTGGTTCCAGGAGCCTCCATGAATACCACAATTTGCACATGCTCAAGTTCCTCGTATGAAATGGCACAGCATTTACATATAACCATTGCACATCCTCTCATATACTTGAAATCTTCTCTAGATTGTCTGTAATACCTGATAAATGCTATATAACTAGTTGTTGACCTGTATTATGTGGGGAATAATGACAAGAAAAAAATCTGTAAATGTTCAGCACAGGCACAGTATTTTGTCCAATATTTTCTGTCTGTGCTTGGTTGAATGCAGATGTGGAATCCACAGATGCACAGCTGTGTTGTTAAGTGTGAGCATTGTTTGACTGTAACAGCTGCCACCGTGTAATGGGAAATCATGCATTTGTGGGGCTTTCTTAATAACTTTTATTTATTTTTTGTTGCAAAACAAGTATTTTTTATTTTAGAAGAGTTTGAAAATACAGAGAAACAAGATGAAAATAAATTAAATCAATCATACCCCTTAAGCCAGAGAAGTAAGCAGAGTTAATATTTTAATATGCATCAGTTTTTGTGCTTTTTATACACATACATTTTTTAAAAGAAAAATGAGATTAAGTTATATGTATTTTTAAAAAATCTCTTAGCTATACCTTTCTATGAATTTTTTGTATTACTTTACATTCTTGTCCCTTAATATTTAAACAATAATTTGTGTTTTGAACAAATAACATTCCAAGGGTTCAAAATTCAAAGCATATAAGTGGCTATGTAATAGAAAAATCTTCCAACCTTGTCTCTTAGCTAAATAGTTACCTTTCCAGAATCAATAAAATATTGTTTTTTAATCATTCCCGGATATTTTATGTATAACCAAAGAAATATGTGTATGTCCCCCATGTTTATACCCAGATAGTTATTGTTATAATTATGTTTTTCACCTTAAAGATCAGTACATGAAGGTAAACTCTATATTAACCTTCAATATGTAATATTCTCATGGTTAAAGTCCATTGTAGAACTTCCATATGCATCTTTATTTAACAAATTCCATCCTGCTCAGCACTCAGGTTACTCTGAATCTTTTCGAATGTAAAAAAAAAAAAAAACCTACAGTGAATAACTTTCACATTGGGGCAATCCACCTATAAATTTAAGATGTGAACGTTCATGCATTTGTGATTTTGAGCCATGTCAAATTACCTTCCCTAGAGTTTGTATGTTTATATTCCTACTAATAACGTATAATAGTGCCTATTTCTTTATGTCCTTGTCAGCAAGTACATTAAAAATGTGCTTGGGCTTTGCCAATTTGATCAACAAAAAATAGTATTTCAAGGCACTTTCAATTTTCATTCTTTTATTATGAGTGAGGCTGAAAAATATGCTTGAGAGTTTTTGCTGTTTCCTCTTTTTTTTAAAGCTTTTTGAGACAGGATTTCATTATATAGTGCAGGCTCACGTTAAACTCACTATGTAGTTCGAGCTGGCCTGGAACTCTTGAATTCATAGCAATCCTCCTGCCTCAGCCTTCTGAATGCTGGGGTTACAGGTTTATACCACCACATCTGGCTCTCCCCGCCCTTTTTGATACTACTAGGGATTGAACCCAGGGCCTTTGCATGGAACTATGTCTCCAGCCCTTCTTTAATTGTTTTGTTTCCTTCTCTCTTCCTCCTCCTTCATCTTCCTCTTCCTCTCCTCTTCTTCATATATTTGGTATTGGGGATTGAACTCATAAATCGAACTCAGGACCTTGCACTTGTGAGGCAGGTGTGGTGCCACTGAGCTAGATCCCCAGCCTTTTTAATTTTTTATTTTGAGACAAGGTCTCATTAAATTGCTCAGGCTGGGTTTAAACTTGAAATCCTTCTGCCTCAGTCCCCCCCACCCCCAGAGCTCTGGGATTGCAAGTGTATACCATGACTGATGCCTGCATTTGGTTTGTTACATTTCTAGATGTTTTACAATTAGAAAGGCCTTCCAAATTCAGATTAAAATTGCCCCATGGTTTTCTCTAGTACCTTTAATTTCATCGATCTATTCTAAATGTTTTTCTGGTATAATCTGTGAAGTGAAACCCAACTTAGTTTTTTCCAAATGACACTCAGTTGTTTCAATCTTGTGTGCTTTATTTCATACATAAAGATTTTATTCATAAGTATTTCTGTCTTTATTTTTCATAATACAGTCCTGTTGATTCTGAATAAGCTTTATGCCTTTATTTCTTTTTCTAACCTCACTAAAGAGACTTCTAGTCAAATGTGACATAGAAGTAAGTAAGGGGAGCAGGCATGTGTGTTCTCAATCTTACCTGAGTGCAAACAGGTACATGATCAACTGGCTCTGAATTGTCTAATTACTTTCCACAAAGTTTATGCCAATTTGGATTGCAATAAAAGGAGTTGCCTAGGAAATGATGAGTATTAAGTATGATGTTACATAGTAGTAGGTTTTTGTAGCTCCCCTTCATCGAATTGAGACTTATCCTTCTGTTGCTAGTTTGTGGAGTTATTTATTATGAATTTCGGCAAGTGGCTTTTATGTGCAGAAGTGATCCTATGCTTTTTTTTTTTTTTGGCCTTTATTCTGTTAATGGGAAGAATTCTGTAAGTTTTGAATGTTAAATCCACTTTATGTTTTGGTCATGACTTGGTATCCTTTTTATGAATTGCTTGATGCTATTTGTTAATACTTTGTTGAGTGAATTTTATAGTCTATTCATGAGAGATATTGGTCTGCCATATTATTATTATTATTTTTTTTTTTTGGTACTGGGGATAGAATGCCATATTCTATTTTTACAATGCCCTTCCCATATCTTGATTTGAGAGACCGCTTTAATCATACTAAATTCCCATTTCTGGATTTTACGTTATATTCTATTCTGTTGATATTTGTCTTTCCTATCTTATTGGGTTTTGTTTCTCTTTGTTGTTTTGTTTTGTTTTGTTGAGACAGCTCTTACTGTGTTATTAAGCTTGGCCTCAAACTTGCTGTGAGCCTCCTGTCTCAGCCTCCTGAATATGAGGATTGCATCATGTGCCAACACACTGAGTTCATTGTTCTTAAAAGATGTATCATTGATGAATATTTAGGAATTGTGTTATTTCCAGTCTCCTGCTATTCTAGACAAGGCTGCAGTAGACAGCATTTTAAAAGGCTGTGTTCTCACACCACGATCATATGTGTAGTATAAATTCTTCAAAGTCAAACAACTTGGTCATTGAGTAAAAATAAGTTATGGTTTGGATTTGAAATGTCCCACGTGACTCATGTGCTAAAGGCTTGCTTACCATCTGATGGAATTTTGGGAAAGTGTTTTAATCATGAGGGCTCTAACTTCAAATGGATTAATCCATTGATTCAGTCGTGCCTTGATGGCATTATTAGGAGATGATGGAAACTAGAGGTGGGGCCTCGTTGAAGGGAGTAGATCATGAGGGCATGACCTCCGGGATGATGGTCCCAGGCCCCCTCCTCTCTGATTCTTTCCTTGTCTCTGTGCTTCCCAGCTGACCTAAGCGGAATAGCTTTCCTCCGCCATGACTTTCTGCTGTGATGTTTCTGCCTCACCAAAAGCCCACCGCAATGAAGCCAACTAACCATGGACTGAAACTTCTGAAACCATGAGCCGGGATACAATGTCCTCCTTCAAGCTCTTTGTGTCAGGTATTTCATCACAGGAACAAAAAGTTTAAGGAAATATCTTGGTAGCTCGTGTCTCATCAGGGAAAACAGAAGCTGTAACAGTTGTTTCAACCAGGAGACTTAATTTAAGGGGAGATTGCTAATTTTGGAAAAGCTGAAGGCACTAAAGGGGATGATGAGGTAATCCCTTGATCAGTAACCGCAGGAAGCCACTGCTAACGCTAGGACTGTAGGATGAGGAGGAGGAGTGTTGTGGACGGAGATGGCAGGTGACACTCAGAGATGAGCTGAATAGAAGTAAAATAATAAAAAGTTTATTTTGTCAGAAAAGGGTCAATTGCATTCAAAAAGGCAGTGCCAGTGATCGATTTCCTATTGGGTTTCAGCTTCCTCTTTTACAGGTTTTACAGCCAGGATCTCATTCAGGTGGTTACATTTCATTTCCTCAGTTCACGTTACCCATGTACAAGTTACAGTAACCAGACAATTAGGTTTAACCCAGACTTAACAGTTCTTTGCATTTGGGGACTTTGCCTTAAGATTCCTCTAGCTATCCATTGTAGTGCACAGAAAGTGGGTGTTCAAGGTTAGGGATGAGGCCAGATGTCTCATTTCATGGTCATTGTCTCCAGTGTCTGTTAATGTTGAACTAAACAAAGCAGACTGCTGTTAGACAGCAAAAGTCATTTTACATTTTCCTAACATTTTGTAGGTTTTTATTTTATCTTATTATGACATATCTATCTATCTATCTATCTATCTATATATTTTTTTTGTATCAGGGATTGAATTCGGGTCTTTGTGCTTGCAAGGCAGGCGGCAGAACCACTGAGCTAAATCCCTGGCCCTTGTCGGTTTTTAGATTACTTACAAAAGTTTTCTGTATCAGGAGAAAGTATCACCGGAACCCAGGACAATGTTGAAAATGATGCCTGTAGCTGAAACCACTGATGCCATATAGTCATACACCACATAGCAACAATGGACCGTGCATAGGGAACAGCCCCATCAGACTGTAATGAAACTGAAAAATTGCTATTGCCTAGTGACCTTGAGCCATCAGAATGCCATCACAGGACAACACATTCCTCGTGTTTGGGGTAATGCCAGTGTAAACAAACACACCACCCCGCCAATCGTATATAAACAGAGCACACACAATTATGTACACTATCCAACACCAGATTATGATAACAAGGACTGTTACTGCCTTGCTTATGAACCACACTAAGTCTTTATGGTTACCTTAGAATGGATTCCTTCTTACATAAAAGGAAAGTTTAGCTGGGCATGGTGCATGCCCATAACCCCAGCTTCTTGGAAGGCTGAGGCAGGAAGATCAAAACTTCATGGCCAGCTTTGGCAACTTTGATCCTGTCTCAAAATAAAATTTAAGAACACTTGGAGATATAGCTCAATGCTTCCTGCGTTGAATCCCTTGTACCACAAGAGAAAAATACAACACTGTATTGTAAAGCAGAGTGTCACAAAAGCAGACTTGTGCATCTCATATTTACTGTGTCTCTTGATTGCATTGTTTTCTCATGTGTTTCATTTACTCTCATGTTGTTTTGTTCACAGTGGCCATCTGTTCATCCCTGTACAGCCTAGGTGTGTACAAAGCTGTACCAGTTCTGTGTGAGTGTATTCTGTAACGTTCGCACAATGACGCAATTGCCTAAACACAGCTCTTAGTGTGTGGCCCGTGGTTAAACAACAGACGATTTATTAGAATCACTGAAGTGTGCTCGAGTCAGCCATCTAACACTGGCAATGCTGGGGCCGCTCCAGGGTGCTCTGCTGCTCCAGGAGGCGTCACCAGGAGCAGAGAGGGAGGAAAACGCCCCTTTCCTCCTGTGTGCCTTCCGCTCGCGTCTCTCTGGCATCAGTGCCTCCTTCCCATGGCTGAGCCTAAGCAGAGGGAGGTGACAGGGTCCGGAAAGGGAATTAGTGGCTTCGGCCCTTGACGACACAGAGCAACAGGGCTGGCCTCACAGGCATTCAGTGCGTGCAGCCACCCAGGGTCTCCTCCATAGAAGAGCCCTACGCTTGGTGTAATGTTGTGCTGCCACTGCCTTGACATTTTTCATACTTTTGGAACAGGGTTTTTTGTGCTTTTATTTTGCACTGGACCCTGCAAATTATGTCACTGGCCCCATTGGCCCGGTCTGGAAGGTAAGGGATGGTGCTGAGAGCAAAGAGGAAAATGCCAGGGCTGCTGTGTGTGGCTAAGTTGCTCTCCATAAAGTTTATACCAACTCGGACCTCTTACCAATGCTGGAGTCGCCTGGGAAGTGTTAATCAGTTATGGTGCTGATAGGCAAATTTCTGTGCTTTCCCCTCAGCGGCCCTCTAGCTCCAAGAGCAAGAATACAGAAGTCAACCAGTTAGTTCTCTGGTCTCTCAGTGTAGAAGTCAGGCTTGAAACCTTCCCTGATCTTCTCTATGTCATTTCCATACCTCGCTCCTTCAAGGAGGAAACAGGTCTGGCTGGGAGCGTGCTGGCTGCAGCAACTTGGTGTCATTGCTTTGTCTTTGCATATCAGGTGGCTTTTAAATGGACATCGTTACATTTGTCTTTCCTTGCTCTCTTTTCTATTTATGGTTGATACAGAGGAAATGGTGGGTCAACTGTTCATCAGCACTTGGCGTTTATGAGGCTTAGTGGCTGCTGGCTTCCCAGAGGTGCTTCTGGAGGTAGACACCAGTCCTCTGGTTGGCCCCAGATAGCACAGCAACAGCGAGGGAAGGGAAGACGTGCTGAGAGGAGGGCTGGCGTTTTCGGTGGAGTAGTTAAGCTGTAGCCAGGATCAGAGTGTGGTGATCTTGTTGCGGCAGTGGGAAAATGATGTGGAGAGGAAGTAGAGGAAAACCCCAGGGGCCACAGGACCAAAACCTCAGCCCTTTAAGAACCACGAATGGCCCACATTGGGATATGGGACTTTCAGGTACACTTCACTCAAAACTGCCATGGAGGTCTCAAATGCGCTTGTTGCCAATCTGCTTCTTTGAGTTAAAGCATAGCACCCATAGGTAGTTTTTTATGAATTCTTGTAAAGGAAGAGATTTCTTCATTCATTCCTCAACAAACTGGGCCCTTGTTACATGCCAGCACTGAGCTTGGCCTGGGATATGAGGGTGAACAGAATAACCCTCCCATGCTGTCTCGCCTTCCCACTCCAAAAGGGAGGAAAACAGCAGTGGCGGTGCAGTGTGATTAGTGTTATGGCAGGAGGAGTAAAGCATGCAGGGAAGAAAGCACAGCGCCTTGTCAGGACCCCAGGGAAGGGCTGGCCTCTAAGCTGAACCTCAGTTAGCCAAGCAAGAAGCAGGGAGGGTGGGACAGACAGTCTAGGAAGAGGTATAGCAGGTTCGCAGTTCCTAAGGTGACCAGTTGTGTGGCATGTAAAGAACTGAAGTGAAGCACACAAAGTCAGCACAGGTCAGATCACTCATGTGAGCTTTATGTGAGGGTGGTGGCCAACCATCCAGGTCAGGGTCAAAAAAGAGATAGAGGCTCTGCCACAGAAATACCACTACCTCCTCAGCCTGAAAAACGGCCTGGCAGGAACAAGGAAGGAAACAAAAATCTAGAGCAGAGATGAAAGTAGCTCCGAACAGGATAGTTGCAAAGGAATGGAGAGAATTATATTGGTTTCAGAGAGATTTAGCATGAAAAACTGGCAAGCTTTGGGAATCAGATTTAGTGGGTAAGGGCCACTGACTCCTTGCCATAAATTACTTTGTTACAGATTAGCAAGAAGTTTACTTGCAAAGTTCTAAAGGAATCAGCTGCAAATACTTTTATTTTGCTGAAAGAAAGAAGACTAAGCCCAAGCTTCTCACGCTGTACTAAGAAGAAAATTATAGCATAGAAAAATACCGTTAGGTTAATGATGGCGAAACTTTTAGAGCTTTCAGGGCTACAAATAGTCCACAGTGGCAAAAGTGCCATAGGTTTTGCCACTACTGCTTTAGGTCACCATAAAAACTAAGCATGCAAATATGATGAGACAGTAAAGGTCAAAGAGCCACAAGTGGCCTGGTCTGGCGGTGGCAGGCTCCTGTAGTCTCAGCTACTTGGGAGGCTGAGGACCATTGAACCTGGGAGTTCGAGGCCAGCCTGGGCAGCCTAGCAAGATCCTGTTTCAGCAACAAGATGCTGCCCTCAGTCCTCTCATTTGTCACATATACACAAAGGAAAACGCTTTGGGTTTAACCAAACATGGCTCACAATTTGTATTTGTTACAAATAATATTCCCTATAACAAACTGTTTTGTCAAAGAAGTTGCTAAATGGTTCTTTGCTTGAAACCCAATGGGCAAATAGGATTTCTCGTTCATTACTTATTTGGTAATTTGTTGTGGTGGTACTGGGGATTGAACCAATGGCAGTTGTAATGAGGCACATCCTCAGCCCTTTTCACTTTTTCTTTTGACACAAGGTCTTGCTAAATTGCCCAGGTTGGCCTTAAGCTTGCAATTCTAGTGCTTCACCCTCCTGAGTAGCTGGGATTACAGGCGTGTACTGCCTCAACCAGCTTACTTGTCTGGTGAATTTTTGAATGAAAAGATTGTTCTGCAGAAATGAACAAAGCAAAAGAAAGAAAAAAGGAAAAGAAATTACAAAGAAAGTGGCATAACTTTTAAAGAGCTGTTACTGTGAAGAGTTGCTACTGTGTAAGAGAAAATATAAAAGACGAGTAAAGAATAGATAAATAAATGAATGTGTTAACGGGTGAGTGAGTAATTGGTAGACTTGTCTGTCGGTAGGAACCCTTGTTCTTTGAGGGAAGACTGGGAGCTCTGGGAGACATGGAATGGTAGAGATGGTAGAATATCGAGAAAGAGAAGCCTAGGGCACAGAACAAAATATGGGGACATCCTAGTTACCTTAGATTGATGGTTTCAAGTATGCTTGGTGTGATGATAACATTAACTCACTGAAGAACTTGTCTTGCCTTGTCATTTTGCAGGGTAGGTGCTGTTTCTAGTCCTCAGTCCTTGGCTTTTTTTGGTAG